TACTGGACATCATACCCCCCCCTAGCCGATGCATAACAGATCTAAGGACTGTGCAGAAGGGAAGGGTACTGTAGCAATTTCCTGACACAGACCCACGTTGAAGGCTGAAACTAGACGTCGCTAGAAATCGTCCACTGCTTACCTTTAAGACATTTCGCCTGGTGGCAGAACTGATTAGGCGTGCAGTCTTTGTCCGACTTACAGAACGTCTCTTGGAACCGTTCCCAGAACAGCGGCTTACTGTAATTCGAAGAACCTCTTTGCGACTGCGAAGACGCCTTCATGCGTCTCATGCTTCTTGCCGCGTAGCCCATGCACGAAGATCCGTACTGGTCACATACCGGGTAGTTCTGGATGCTGTTGCCAAAGTTCGTGCACGTCAGACCGTTCGAGCGAGACATGCTGATGCACACACAGCGTAATTCGACACATGCTGCATAGTTCGGATAGCCGGCGCATTGGCTGGATGTCTGACAGCTCATGCCTGGGCTGACGGAAACCGAGTACGGAGATTGGGCTGAAACTCGTTATTTGTATTTAAGCAGTACAGTATGCTGAGGTAATATTTTTACAATCACTATAATCGCTTCAAGTAATCGCTTCGAATCTATGAAATGATGAATGAAGTAAAGTGAAGCCAAAAAACACAGTATTTTCGCATTACTGCCGTGTCTCTAACATCATTTTATATCATACTGTCCATTGACGTACGTTTATGAATCAGAGGGTATATTTCTTTAGATGCAATATGACGACTGACAACCAGGCTACTGACATGCAGAACAATATCGAGTAAGATGAAAGGCATGAAAGGTATTGATTCATCGACAAGAACGACACCGCACTCGTAGACAACGAGAGCCAATGCTCATTTTGGCATTACGTCACCCGTTTGAACTCACTTCACTCCCAGGTTACAACTCGTAGAATACGCTGGATCTTGTGCCTTCGTCGTGCAAGTAGGATAATCAGAGTATCCTTGAGTGAGCATTCCATTTTCGTTTCAGGCATTTCAGGACATGAACGGTATGAAACATTTTAAAGATGGGCAGGAATGGTAAACATCCAATACGAGGGAGTGGTGATATATTTAAAATGGCGGTGTGACTTGGCTGATTGTCACTTATTCTCTAAAACTCACTTTCGCGTAACTATGGTAAAGTCTAAAATAGGTGATGCCATGACCAAATGAGGCACCATACAGTTTTTGCTCCTCAGGGGTTAAGGCAGTCATAAAGAGGATCTGCTTTTATACTCATAAATGGACGGAACTGTTGTTTTTGTTATGGTGTTATAACTAATCGGACTGCACTGTGACAATGAACGTTGTCCCCCCCCCCAGTGAGTAGCGATTTTTGGCCTAGTATATAAAAGATTCCAAGGAGGATCCATCGGTAACGATAATCGTACTGAAATGACTTCTTGCACGCAATGGCTGGTCATTCGAAACACCGGAAGTCAAATTGCATAAGTAAACAACTGTTATGCTTGTTCTTGTATATAGCATATGTGTTTTTTAATTTGTAATAGATTATCATTCAGATACCATACTTTCTTCGTTCCAGACAACATTGAAAAGACAGCTACTTTGGCATCCTCTCCTCTACGTTTTCAACAGATGTGTTCAGGAGAGAAGCACTATGATCTAAAGCCATTACAAAAGGATAGGGAAGCACTGGCCCTATTCACGCTAAAAGCTAGCATAATGAAATGATTTCATTATTGCACCTTTACCTCACAAAGGGCAATCCTGTTATGGAAAATTGAGGACAGGAATGAAACATTAAACTAAGCTGATTGCAACCTGCCTTTCATATGTTTTCTCAAAGAAAGCATGGCGCGATCTCCTCATCATTTAGCCTACCCTTAGAACGGTAGATCACGATAGTTCAGTTGGAACGACTGATGAAACAAACAGCACTAGAGGGATACTTAATTCTGCAGAAAAAATAATATCCCTTGAAACTAAAGATTTAAACCATGGAATTTGGAATTTAAGCGATTTAATCCGCCATACCTCTGAACAGAGAAATTATTCACATCCATCACTCTCATGTAGTGAAAGATGTGGCTAATCCATTTGTTCATGCGGTGCTTGGCGGATGACAAAACCTCCACCAGCTTTAAGTCTTAAACTCTTGCTGGCACTGATTTCATGATCGAAGGTTCTAACTTACTCCTTAATAGGCAGCATTGCGTATCTGCAATCCTTGCACCGACGATCCTTCCTGAAATCGATCGTTCAGGCTTATGTTAAGAGTGAATGGAATACATTTGGCTGAGGTGGTTAAACCCGCGCTGAGAGAGCAATGGCACGTGGCTATGAGTATGACCA